TTCCTGCAATTCAGCAGCTGTCTGCCCGTAGCGGAGGTACAAGGTAGACAGCTGACTGAGAGTCGGCAGGATCCTGGCATTGCACCCACGATCTACTGATCACAGGCTGCAGTGTAAAAAAATTATAAATGCATCTTATTTACCTGCAAAAGATGTGCATTTATTTATTTAAAAGGTGCATTTAGCCTTGTAATAATTTAACATACAAATAAATAGACATAATTCAGAATAAAAGAAAACCTTATAACAGTGGTAGGTAACCTCAGCACTCCAGCTGTGGTGAAACCGCAAATCCCATCATGCCTCTGCCTGTGGCGGTCAGAGTCCTGCAATGCCTCATGGGATTTGTGGTTCCTCAACAGCTGGAGTGCCGAGGTTGCCTACCCTGTCCTTATAATATTTGTCTCTTTTGCATCTGATGCTCCAGGCTCCAATGGCAGCTGGTCATGTGATCAAAAGGTTTGGCATTTTTCACATGGTCTCAGCTGAACAGGGGGAGTCAGGCAGAGTGGCTGGAGGACTGGTTGTTCTTGCATCAGGCAGGAGGAAGCATTTCCTCAGTCTCTTCTTCCCCAGCCATTACACTGTACATTGTAATCTGTAGCAAATCACAAAGTGAGAGGCTGCAGCAGGGGCTGACCTGCGTCAGACATTTATGAACACAGCCAAGAACTGCCAGGCATCAGGATTTACATGCCATTTCTGTGCCAGTATTTCAGCTCAGGAAGTAGGTGCTGATCCTGGATGTTGCCTGAACAAAGATGGAGCTGTCCTTCTGAAGAGAAAGCAGATGAAGGCATTGTCAGGGGGAGTCCTGTGATTATTATTATTATACAGGATTTATATATTATTATTATTATTATTATACAGGATTTATATATTATTATTATACAGGATTTATATATTATTATTATACAGGATTTATATTATTATTATTATACAGGATTTATATATTATTATTATACAGGATTTATATATTATTATTATACAGGATTTATATATTATTATTATACAGGATTTATATAGCGCCAACAGTTTGCTCAGCGCTTATAACAATATAACGGGAGACAATACAGCAACAATACAGTTCAATACAAGAGGGTTAGGAGGGCCCTGATCCTTGGAGCTTACAATCTAAGAGGGAGGGGCTTGTGGTACAACAGGTAGTAACTGTGGGGGGTGGACTGGTAAAAGAAATAGAAGATTCCATTATTAGCTGAGGCAGGATAGGCTTCCCTGAAGAGATAGGTTTTCAGAGATCGCCAAAATGTGAGCAGAGTAAGCGATAGTCTGATAAATTGGGGTAGAGTGTTCCAGAGGATGGGGGAAGCTCTGGAGAAGTCCTGGAGACGAGCATGGGAGGAGGCAAGGGAGCTAGAGAGCAGGAGGTCGTGCAAGGAGCGGAGAGGACGGTTTGGGTGATATTTGAAGACAAGATTGGTGATGTAATTTGGGGCGGAGTTACTGTGATCTCTGCGAGAGGTCATAAATATCTGGAAGTGTTACATTGACACATTTTTTAGTATGCTGCACTTATCATAAAAACATATACTGGATTCATATGTTAGTGAATAAAATGGTTCGAAGCTCAACGTCGCCCTTCCGGAGCTAAACCAGAATAACAGGATTAGCAGTTTTCTCAGCTTTGCTGTCATCTTCCCATCAGGCGATATAGAACACCTGGGCCTCTGATAGGAATCCGGGAAGGATGTTGGAGCCATGGTAATTTCTCCACGTTGATGGAATAAATGCTTATTTTCTCTGAGCTGCTCCAAGCCATGACCAGGAGCAGCTCTACATCTTCCCAGCGAATAGAGGTGTCCGCCGAGAGTGACCTTTCCTCTGCTTCCCGAGCTGTAAATAATTTATTTTCATTGTAAAGCCGTGGAAAAACGCGGTGCAGGAGACAGCGGAGGGGTAATGCAGATTAATGAAGTATTTCAGAAACAAAACTAGACAATGTCACAGTCGCTGTCAGTGGGGCGCCATCAGGACTGTGCTGGCTGTGTGACTATATATAGCAGGTCTGACTCTCCCTCCGGATCCCCCACGGGAATAACCCCCCTGATAGGGCCCATTACTAATCTAGATTATCTACCTAAATTACCAAATATATTTTAAAACTATTGTTGATATAATATTAAGACTTTATAGATCAAATGCATGTTTCTGTTAACATCTGACATGTTGCAGGCACTGGGGGCTGAAAGGGGAAATGTGTAGGAGGAGATGAACAGAAAAAGAACCTTGATAGTGTGAAGATACTCATTTATCTACCCCTCTCTGCCAATCCCTCCACTGGCCTCCATTCAGTGTCTGCTACCCATTTCTGCCAATCCCTCCACTGGCTTCCACTCAGTGTCCTCCCCCCCCTCTCTGCCAATCCCTCCACTGGCTTCCACTCAGTGTCCTCTACCCCTCTCTGCCAATCCCTCCACTGGCCTCCATTCAGTGTCCTCCACCCCTCTCTGCCAATCCCTCCACTGGCCTCCACTCAGTGTCCTCCACCACTCTCTGCCAATCCCTCCACTGGCCTCCACTCAGTGTCCTCCACCACTCTCTGCCATTCCCTCCACTGGCCTCCACTCAATGTCCTCCACCCCTCTCTGCCAATCCCTCTACTGGCTTCCACTCGCCCAACAAATACAATTCAAAATACTAACAACTTACAAAGCCATCCACAACTCTGCCTCCAGCTACATCACCAACCTGGTCTCAAAATATCAACCAAACCGCTCTCTTTGATCCTCCCAAGACCTTTTGCTCTCTAGTTCCAGTGTCACCTCCTCCCATGCTCGCCTCCAGGACCTCTCCCGAGCTTCTCCCATCCTATAGACCTCCCTACCCCAATCTGTCCGGCTGCCTCCTAATCTATCCACCTTTAGACGATTCCTGAAAACCTCTCTTTAATGAAGCCTATTCTGCTTCAACCTAGTAAACCTCCATTTATTTCCTCCATCAGTTCATCCCCCCCACAGCTATTAACTTTTGTATCACTCAACCCTTCCTCCTAGATTGTAAGCTCTAACGACCAGGGCCCTCTGTTTCTTCTTGTACAAAATTGTATTGTAACTGTAATGTCTGCCTTCATTTTGTAAAGCACTGCGCAAACTGTTAGTGCGATATAAATCCTGTATAATATAATAATAATTTATAGTCCAGTGAGTGGTCAGGTGACAACAAGAAGCTGCAATAGAGCATGAAGGTGTCACCCTCCTACCCATAGTGTGAAGCTCTGTTGTGTGAATCAGAGGACCTAGGTTGCCTACCCATGGGTGAGAACCTCTTTTGGACTTTTATTACCGTCTGTGTCCCTGTTGGTTAGATTTTCTCTCACTTCCTTCCCCATTGACAAAAATTTAGAGAGACACTGAGTGATGGGAAATCTATCTAAAGAAGTACACGCCTCACCATGGAGGAAGGTTCGAATCTTGGTTAGGTTTCTATTGCTGGCTGTGTGTGCCTTCCTGTCTCCTAGACCCGCCATTTCTTTCACTTCCTGCCCAGGTGTCACTGAGACAAACAGTGAGTGGAAAGGAGCCAATCAGGTATGCTACAGCGACATGCTGATAGGAGGAGAGATCAGAGTGACAAAGAAATAAGCCTATCAGTCTTTAGCTTTATCTTTCACTGCCCAATCACAGGATGGGGAGCCAAAGCTCCAAGGGGGTCTGCTAAGTCCGAGCCAAGATGACCAGGGCAGACCGGGATGAGGTTAGCAAAAGTAGCTGGCCAGTGTTCCGAAGAAGTTGGGCCAGACATCAGAAAAGACCAAGGGATCTGGCAGATCAAACTGACTGGGGAAGACCGAGGCAAGGTGGGTGAAAGTGGCCGGATGGGGCTCCAAGGGGGTTGGCCTGGATTTTGGCTAAGTCCTGGAGAAGCATCTGGCTCCATGGTAAGGGACAAGACCTGTAAGTGTCACTGAACTGCTACATGGAAAAATCAGGTCCCCTGCCATGCCAGACAGGGCTGTGTTGTGTGGCAGAGCTGTCTAAATCTCAGGACTGGGTGGTCAAAAATACAAATCCATTATATGTGTTTCATCTGTGTATTTAGCTGTTTGCCTGAAGACCAGCATGGAAACCAGTTCCCAGATGTTCTGCAGATTTGTAGTTAACAGTATTTAGGAGCATCCACTACTAAAGCCAATTAGATTGTCTGCAATGGCAATCCACCATCCCCCCTCCCCCATCCAAGAAAAAAAAAACCTAAATCTGCTTTTTCAAAGGTTTCAGAGGGCCAAAGCTGGACAAGGCACAGCAATAATAATCACCTCTGATATTGTGTATTTTCCATCAGAAACCTTCTTTGTTAGACACCAGGACTCTTTCCGATGGATTTTCTCCATGCCCGCTCTCCCAGAGACGACCGCCGTGTCACCGGCATGATTTCCTGGAAAAGTCGTGCTTGCGGCAAACCTTCAGTGATTTTCTATACATTGGAGATTATCGCTTTCTATATTATCTAGGTCACATTCGGAGAAGCCTCTTGCTAAAAACTAATCCATAGTGGTAAACCTTATTCAACATGATGTAATCCCATCAAAGGTGCTTAAGACAGAGGAATGAGCTGCTTTCCATCATACAAGTAGACACATTACACGTCTCACATTGTGCTTCCTGATGGCAGAGATAGCTGAGCTCACATTGATAACCGCACACTGAACAGATACATACAAGGAATCTGTCCCCAAAAATACATTTGTGGCCTGAAACTACCCACCTCCTTGAGTATACATGAGCCGTGGTGTTCGAGACGCAGTTAAGGAGATTCATATTTACCCCAATTGTCCCTTTTCTCTGTTGTTCCCTAAGTGTGAAGTCCATATTTGTTAGCCATGGTGCCCAACCTATGGATCTTTGGCACTTTTTGTGTGGCCCTCTAGCTCCCTGCAGACACTAATTTGTGTCAATATCAGTGATTTCTCATGTAACATGTCTCAAGTCAACAATTGTCTCTTGAAGCATGTAGCCAGTCTTTACAAATCAATTTCTGAACATCTCCTTCAGCATGTCCGCAGTCTCTGACCATCTCCTGTATCATGTCTGTAGTCTCTGATCATCTCTGTATCATGTCTACAGTCTCTGATTATCTCTTGTATCATGTCTACAGTCTCTGACCATCTCTTGTATCATGTCTGTAGTCTCTGATCATCTCTTGTATCATGTCTACAGTCTCTGACCATCTCTTGTTTGATGTCCATAGTCTCTGACCATCTCTTGTATGATGTCCATAGTCTCTGACCATCTCTTGTATTATGTCTACAGTCTCTGATCATCTCTTGTATCATGTCTACAGTCTCTGACCATCTCTTGTATGATGTCCATAGTCTCTGACATCTCTTGTATCATGTCTGCAGTCTCTGACCGTCTCCTGTATCATGTCTGCAGGCTATGACCATCTCCTGTATCATGTCTGCAGGCTATGACCATCTCCTGTATCATGTCTGCAGGCTATGACCATCTCCTGTACCATGTCTGCAGGCTATGACCATCTCCTGTATCATGTCTGCAGTCTCTGACCATCTTTTGTAGCATGTCTGCAGTCTCTGACCATCTCTTGTATCATGTCTGCAGTCTCTAACCATCTGTTGTATCATGTCCTGCAGTCTCTGACTGTCTCCTGTATCATGTCCCGCAGTCTCTGACCATCTCCTGTATCATGTCCGCAGTCTCTGACCATCTCCTGTATTATTTCCTGCAGTCTCTGACCGTCTCCTGTATCATGTCCCGCAGTCTCTGACCATCTCCTGTATCATGCCTGCAGTCTCTGACCATCTCCTATATCATATCTGCAGTTTCTGACCATCTCCTGTATCATGTCTACAGTCTTGATGGGTGGGTGTCAATCTAGAGGAGTGAGCGTTCCAAGGCCAGCTGCATTTGCATGAGATTACAAACAAAATTAGCAGTGTTATAAAAATCACACATCAAAATGAAATAAATTAAAATAAAAACACATCATGCAAAATAAAAATTAACAATTTGAAAAGCCACATTAAAATTCCTCGGTGTGATATACATAATGTCCTTTTATCCCCTTGTACAGTCAGGTCCATAAATATTGGGACATTGACATAATTCTAACATTTTTTGGCTCTATACACCACCACAATTGATTTGAAATAAAACAAACAAGATGTGCTTTAACTGCAGACTGTCAGCTTTAATTTGAGGGTATTTACATCCAAATCAGGTGAACGGTGTAGTAATTACAACAGTTTGCATATGTACCTCCCACTTGTTAAGGAACCAAAAGTAATGGGACAGAATAATAATCATAAATCAAACTTTCACTTTTTAATACTTGGTTTCAAATCCTTTGCAGTCAATTACAGCCTGAAGTCTGGAACGCATAGACATCACCAGACGCTGGGTTTCATCCCTGGTGATGCTCTGCCAGGCCTCTACTGCAACTGTCATCAGTTCCTGCTTGTTCTTGGGGCATTTTCCCTTCAGGTTTGTCTTCAGCAAGTGAAATGCATGCTCAATCGGATTCAGGTCAGGTGATTGACTTGGCCATTGCATAACATTCCACTTCTTTCTCTTAAAAAACTCTTTGGTTGCTTTTGCAGTCTGCTTTGGGTCATTGTCCACCTGCACTGTGAAGCGTCCAATGAGTTGTGAAGCATTTGACTGAATATGAGCAGATAATATTCCCGAAACACTTCAGAATTCATCCGGCTGCTTTTGTCAGCAGTCACATCATCAATAAATACAAGAGAAGCAGTTCCATTGGCAGCTATACATGCCCACGCCATGACACTACCACCACCATGCTTCACTGATGAGGTGGTATGCTTAGGATCATGAGCAGTTCCTTCTCCATACTCTTCTCTTCCCATCACTCTGGTACAAGTTGATCTCGGTCTCATCTGTCCATAGGATGTTGTTCCAGAACTGTGAAGGCTTTTTTACATGTCGTTTGGCAAACTCTAATCTGGCCTTCCTGTTTTTGAGGCTCACCAATGGTTTACCATCTTGTGGTGAACCCTCTGTATTCACTCTGGTGAAGTCTTCTCTTGATTGTTGACTTTGACACACATACACCCACCTCCTGGAGAGTGTTCTTGATCTGGCCAACTGTTGTGAAGGGTGTTTTCTTCACCAGGGAAAGAATTCTTTGGTCATCCACCACAGTTGTTTTCCGTGGTCTTCCGGGTCTTTTGGTGTTGCTGAGCTCACCGGTGCGTTCCTTCTTTTTAAGAATGTTCCAAACAGTTATTTTGGCCACGCCTAATGTTTTTGCTATCTCTCTGATGGGTTTGTTTTGTTTTTTTCAGCCTAATGATGGCTTGCTTCACTGATAGTGACAGCTCTTTGGATCTCATCTTGAGAGTTGACAGCAACAGATTCCAAACGCAAATAGCACGCTTGAAATGAACTCTGGACTTTTATCTGCTCATTGTAATTGGGATAATGAGGGAATAACACACGCCTGGCCATGGAACAGCTGAGAAGCCAATTGTCCCATTACTTTTGGTCCCTTAACAAGTGGGAGGCACATATGCAAACTGTTGTAATTCCTACACCGTTCACCTGATTTGGATGTAAATACCCTCAAATTAAAGCTGACAGTCTGCAGTTAAAGCACATCTTGTTCGTTTCATTTCAAATCCATTGTGGTGGTGTATAGAGCCAAAAATGTTAGAATTGTGTCGATGTCCCAATATTTTTGGACCTGACTGTATGTCTGTAACACACTAATGCAGGGGTGGGGCAAACTTTTTGACTTGAGGGCCGCAATGGGTTCATATATTGGACCCGGGGGCCGGACCAAGAGTAGATGAATGATGTGTATGTGTCATCCATAGTAAGTATAGTAATATTCCCCCATAGTAAGCATAGTAATTAATCCCCCATATAGTAATTCATCTCCCATATAGTAATTCATCTCCCATAGTAATTCATCCCCCATATAGTAATTCATCCCCCATAGTAATTCATCCCCCATATAGTAATTCATCCCCCATAGTAATTCATCCCCCATATAGTAATTCATCCCCCATAGTAATTCATCCTCCATATAGTAATTCATCCCCCATAGTAATTCATCACCCATATAGTAATTCATCCCCCATAGTAATTCATCCCCCATAGTAATTCATCCCCCATATAGTAATTCATCCCCCATATAGTAATTCATCCCCCATATAGTAATTCATCCCCCATAGTAATTCATCCCCCATATAGTAATTCATCCCCCATATAGTAATACATCCCCTATAGTAATTCATCCCCCATAGTAATTCATCCCCCATATAGTAATTCATCCCCCATATAGTAATTCATCCCCCATATAGTAATTCATCCCCCATATAGTAATACATCCCCCATATAGTAATACATCCCCCATATAGTAATACATCCCCTATAGTAATTCATCCCCCATATAGTAATTCATCCCCCCTATAGTAATTCATTCCCCATATTAATTCATCCCCCCATATTAAGTCCCCAAGTCCCCCCTGTGTCAATTCACTTACCTTTGCTCCGCGCGTTCCTCTCGCCGTGTTCCCGCGCCGTTCCGGTCTTCAGGGCAGACTGTGAGAGGAGCCTCCCCTCACGTTCCTCACACTGCCCCGCCTACACACATTCTGACAGCCGATGTTTGCCACGCTCCGCGGGCCGGATTAAAAGGTCCGCCGGGCCGTAGTTTGCCCATTGCTGCACTAATGGCATCAATCACTCTGGATACACGACTTCTTCTGGACTGATTGATGCCAGGAGTGTATTGTGTGTTACAGACATAAAGAGGATAAAAGGACATTATGTATATCACAATGAGGCTTTTAAGATTGTTAATTTTTATTCTTTATGATGTGTCTTTATTGTCATTTGTTTTGTTTTGTCATGTGACTTTTAAGCACTGCTAACCTTGTTTGTAGTTGTTGACGTGCTGTTTATTGATTGGCTGGACCACAGATTTACTTTCTTGATTGTTTAAATGCATTTGCATGCAGACCACCCTAGGTAACGCCCACAGGTGATGCTGAGCCGCCATGATTGAAAGAACTTATATCCAATGAAAGAAAGGGGTGGGCCAAGGATAGTCAGGCTTTTTATTTATTTCAGGTACTTATATAGCGCCGTCAATTTACGCAGCGCTTTACATATATATTGTACATTTACATCAGTCCCTAACCCTCAAGGGGCGTACAATCTAAGGTCCCTAACTCACATTCATACATACATATACTAGGGACAATGTAGACAGGAGCCAATTCACCTGCCAGCATGTCTTTGGAGTGTGGGAGGAAACCAGAGTACCTGGAGGAAACCCACACAGGCACAGAGAGAACATGCAAACTCCAGGCAGGTGGTGCTGTGGTTGGGATTTGAACCAATGACCCGAGTACTGCCAGGCGCAGGGGTGGACTGACAACTCATGGGGCCCCCGGGCAATAGGGGATCATGGGGCCCGCGTCCTTGCCCAAACTCAAAAACGCCTATAAAAAGGTACCAGGGGCATCTCATGGGGCCCCCTTCTGACCCGGGGCCCTAGGGCAATGCCCGAGTTTCCAAATGGTCAGTCCGCCCCTGGCCAGGCGGAAGTGCTAACCATTTAGCCACTGTGCTGCCCATACTTTTAATGCACAATTTGAGAAGCTCACAGTGTGCAGTGAAATCAGAGCAAGTCATCTCTGTCCAGGAGAGCAGCCGGTACAGCTGTGCAAAACGGAAAGGAAGACTAGAAGTCAGATTTAATTTTTGCAATGCTTTAGTTATTTTGTGACTGGAGTGCTCCTTTAATTAACACCACATCAGGGCATGTACACAAATTTAAAATTAGCACCCTCTATGTTGCAGAGGAGATAAAAAGTTTATTCAACTACACATGACCTCCGAATTAAACTTCATACATCTGATATAATTGTCCCACAGCTGGGAGTGGAGCCCTGCCAGGTGCACCATGATGGCTGTTAGATGGACGACATGCACCCGTTTCCAGAGACACCCACAGACCACTAGGGGCGCCGCCTCCTAAAGAATCGTGTGCTGAAATTACTACATTTTAATTAGCCGACATACGAGAAGCCTGCTTGCCAGCTCAATTTGCATCTTTTTGATTTGACTTAGCAGGTGTCTTAATTCAGGGGAAATATTTGAAGCGTGGCTTTTCCTGCGACATACATGTCCCTGCAACTCATTAAAACATATGCAGACTGCAGATAAGGTGGTGGCACGCTGATCATAAACACACATGAACATGTAACTGATACAGAGGGCAAGAGGAACCAACGCTGACCCACCGTCATTCATAAAATACGCAATCTGCTCCGTGAAACAGAACAGCTGCCAGGGACTGTCTCTGCCATTTCAGCAAGCCGTGTAAAAATGCATCATATTCAAATGATGTAACATATAAATTCCACGGCAGAGGAACATTTTATTGCAAAAGTCGCACTCAATTTCTATTGTGCAATTCACATCTTAAAGCAAAACGAAAGGTAAACCTTTTTTTTGGTTTGGATAATGTAAAGGAAGGTTATACCCCATCACAATTTTTTGTGGCTTTCCAGGTAAAACAATATTTATTATCTGGCGTGCTGCAAAAGCAAGTCAAAATAAAAAAAAAACAATATCC